ATTTAAAATTTTAGTCCTTTCAGTGTTTGTGAATCCTTCATTCTGGATCCATCTGCAGCTGACTTAGCGGTCCTGGAATCTGTAAAATAATTTCCTCTGTCTTCTCATGTTTCTTTGGCTCTTTAGATAGCAGTTCTTCCTCTTTGGTCAGATGGCAAGCTGGTATGCCGAGTCGTGGTGTTAATAATTGATTTCAGTCAGGAGGGCTGACGATATTTTTGTACCAAAGAAAGTATAAGAATGATTAGAAATTACAAGATACTGCATGTCCTTATTGAAGGGAAGAGATCCCATTGTGTCCTGAGAGCCCTCGCCAGAGCACAGCGAGGGTCGGCTGCTCCCCGAGGGTTGAGGAGCTGGGGGCCCGGCCTGCCAGCCAGGCCGCAGGGCAGGGGCTTTGCCAGGCAGGGCCCAGCCGGGATGGCAGCTGGGGACAGCCAGAGCCCGGGCATCAGGCAAGCCTGGGGTGACGAGGCAGGGCCGAGGTGGGGCCAGGCACAGGAGTCGGTAAGCTGGGGTGAGGACCAGGTCTGGTGTCAGGGTCAGACACAGCCAGTGGTCGCCAGGCCAAGCCGGGGAGTCAGCCCGTGGGCCGGGGCCTGATCGGCGGGAGCCATGGCTGGGCACAGGTGCAGGCATGGCTGCCATGCGGGTGGGGCTGCACCTCAGGCAAGGCTGAGCTCTAGAGCTTTGGCTGAAAGGCAGCTCCCAAAGAAGGGGGCCAGCCTTGGCTGGGGCCACCCTGCAGGGCTGTCTGGCAGCTCCTCGCAGTCACCAGAGGGGAGGAGGGGCAGCCCTCAGCTGGCTATCTCTAAGCTGGCCCTGAGCCCAGCAGCCAAATCCCCAGGAGGGGGGTGCAATCAGGGCCCTTACAGCCATTTAAGATCCCAAGGTGCTGCTACCCTTTTTTCTCTGCTTCACAGAAAAGCATGGGAGCAGATGGTAGCCACTTTAACTCTGCAAGTATAAGTGACACCTAAGTTTCAAACTTTTACAGCTTTTTATTTACCTTGTTATCTACCTAACTAGTACAACTGTGCTATGATAACTCAATTATCAATTTCTTTGTGAGCGCTTATTTTGATCAAGGAAATGTATGTCTCATTTTTCACGCTGATTTCTTTTCCAAAGTGTGGCAGCTTCATTCCTCAGGCATTGAGTAGGCTTTGTCTGTTCCAGGCACTGAAAGAAAATCCCATTTCTCTGGCATTTGGGGTGAGACAGAAGAGGCGTATTGGGTGCTGTCTGGTTTCCTGGCTAAGTAAGATGAGATAGTAAATGCTGTCAGATGATTGTGATATTCAAAGAGGATTACTTAAACATTTTCTTCTGCGTTAGGCACCAGTTGCCTAACTGTGCAGTATGGTTTCTTTTCTTCTCTTTGGGGTACTGGAGAAAAATCTTTCATGGCCAGAGGTCTGTGGGATGCCAGGGTTTCAGTGGGGAAGTGACAGAGAAAGGAGAAGCAGTTTCTTTCTATTCATCGACTCAGAGATCAGGATAAAATTTTCCTTCAAGCCTTTGGCGAATTCCCAACAATTTTAGTGGGACATGAGTTTCACACGCAGCCTGTACTTGTTCGGTTATTATTCAGGGTATACTCATTTAGAATAGATTGTAATTTTGTGATAGACTGTAATTGGAAAGAGTATTAGGAGAAGAGGGGAAGATTTGTCTTTCCTAATAAAAGGAAAACGATCATCACTTTTTCTTTCCAACTGCTGTATGGGTTGGTAACAGTTTAGTTTACTTGGCAGGTGTGAAGTTTGCAGCATTATTTGTTGAAGAAGGTCCTTCCTAAAGTGATACAGATTATGTGTGTAAATCTGCCCTTTGTTGGGTGAATTATTATGAAGACAGTTTCCCAAACATATTAAATCTACTAAACTATTAGGCTTTGTTTTTTATCATGTAAGTGGTGTATCCTGTGGGTTTCTTGTATAATAAAACTAACTTTAGAGTTTTCACGAGTCTTATGATGATGTTAATGCAGGCCTGTACCAGAAAATATTTCAGGACCATAATACATGCAACATGATGTTCTCATCTGTTAATATAAAGATATATTAATATGGTTATCTGGAGCATACATGCGTGTAGTGCAACAATAACGTAAATGCAAACAAATATGAAACATATATGATGGCTGGAGAAAAATACTTTAACAGTGCAAAAAAAATAATGGATAAATATAAGATTTGCTTAACCCCTCCATTGTGGTTAAGATCTGATATTGCCATTAGTTTAATTTTTAATACCTTTGGTAGATAAATAAAATGTCTTCACCGCGCAGATAATGCTTTTCTTGAGAAATCCAACATGAAGTACAAGTACAAAAATAAAAAGGTAAATTTAAATATGTAAATTTAAATAGGAGAATATTAAAATAAATCACTATATCTTTTGAACAACTACTGAAAAAAATAAAGCAAAGAATACACGCTTGTCAAATATGCAGTATAAATAAATAATTTAGGTGAAAATGGATGACTAGATATAACAAAGAGACGACCAAATAATGAAGGGCTAAAGGGTGGTTGTTACATCTGATGTACTTCATTGTATATTGTAAGTAATTGCTATCCATAAAAAATTCCATGGCTTCTGTATAAGAAAAAGAGACAATTTGACAGGCAACACTAGTAGTAAGCGACAGCAAGTACAAATCCTTGGCAACTGTCATTATCCTGCTGTTGAATTCACATCCAAAACTGTGTGATAACTTTGACCTGGGTAGCTGTTACTGAACCAATGTCTGTTAAAGTAACTATATTTTTCACTTATGGAAAAAAATATTAGCGGTGTGCAGATTTATGTCTTAGAAAACTGTATGGAGTATTTACTTTTCTTTAGTACACTGTTGTTTTCTAGTTAAAGAAGAAATATGGAGAAATGTGTTTTAGTTAGACAATAATGAATAATTAGAAAATTGCACTAGAGCAATAGAATAAAAATTTTGATCTGATGTAGCCAAACAATTTCAGCATGTAGAACTAACTGAAAGTAAAAGTTCTTTTTGTAATAATTACAAAAATACTTCAGTGCTTTGGCCATGAATAAACAGAAGTTTAATTGCTTTTAAATGGAAAAAAAGTTGTTAGAGCTCTTTAGGTTTTTAGGGTTTTTTGTTTATTTTCCTGTTTAAATTTCTGATTTCAAAATCTTTTCTCTGTGTATCTCTATATGGGCATCTTTACTTATGCCGTAAAAATAGGATCACAACATCTTGGTGGTGGCAGCTAGCAAAATTTGCCATTGACTAAGAAGAAATTTTGCTTTAATATGGAGTACCAAGCTGTTTTTCCTGACTAGTGAATGGCATTTCACATTGTCTTTTTCATGAGATTTCTACATATTCGGACTTCCATTTTATGGCATGTAATCTCCAGGAGGATGGGCACCAGGGTTATGTCTAAATTTGAGCTTTCTCAAAGTATAAAACAGCTCTGCAATGCAAGAGTAAGATTACTCTGAGTAAGTGCATGCTTTCATTTTCTGTTTGAAACCACCTCAGTTACAGAATTGGAGCGTATGCACAAGTACCCTAAGGTTTACGTATGCTGTACGTATAAATAGTTGTTTTGATGGTGGGAAATTTTAAGAAAAAGCTGGACAAGGACTGGGGAACAATAACAGTAGTAGTCCTGTAGGTATTTTCCTTGTATAGTGTAATTTAGTGACAGGAGATTTCATAAGTAGTATATATTGTTGAAAAGTAGTAGCCCTTTGCTGCACCAGACCACTTACATAATGGTTTACTTGTCATGTAAACAAGATAATTCCTAGTTGATACTAACAATACTGTCAATATTCCATCAAAATAGTTCATGAGTAGTAAGTAAGGAAGTTATCTGCTAAAGACAGAAGTTATCTACAGAATTAATAATGGCAATTAATAGATTTTTATTGTTTAAAGAAATTTGTTTCTGGTTTCATAGTTATTTTCTGCTCTTGAAGTGGATAACAAAATAGTCGCTTAAAAAAAAGAGTATTTACAAAAAATAATGTCCTCTTGCTGTCACTAGTCAGAATTCAAAACTCCGCATAATGTGTTCAGACTCATAATACTGAAAATAGTTTTCTTTGCTTGCACTCCAATATTTAGTATTCCAGTAATAGTATATTAGTTTAAGGATTTCCTAGGTAAACATACTGCAATCCATGTGGACAAATTTTGAAGTTCACATTTGTTGTGGCATCATTTTTGTAATTTATAATGGGAATATTCTGACACTTAAGAATTATTTGACTATGAAAGACGAATGAGGGCTTGATCTCATCCAGTTCCTTTCTTGCCTCTTCTTTATCTTTGATACTGCTGTTGGCACAGTTATACTAGTGCTGATTTGGATCTTCCAAAGATGGCATAAAATTAGATTGTGTGATCATAATCTGGGTGAATATTCCATCTAGACTTTTGGCCTACAGTATAAAGTAATTTTGTGCCATTAATAGTAGCCTCAAATTGAAAGTTGGAGGCTTCTGTTCTCATTATTTTTAATGTTTTTATGCAAATAAAGCCTTTTTTTTTTAGCTTTATGAGATAATTTACTGTTCATTTTGTATGAAGGAAGGCTAGCACAGAGTCAGTGCTATGGCAGTGTAGTATAGCTGAAATACCTACTGTACGTCACCATAATCCTGTCCTACAGCACTTTATGCAATTCCCATTCTGATCCTTGCTTGTGGAAAGATTAATTGAGCTAAATTCTGAAATAATTTTATAGTTTGCAGAAGTAAGAATCAGGGTGAAACTATTAACACAGTTTCATAAGGTGTTTTCCAACTTTAATTAAGCTGTTGTAGGCTTTTCTGAACTCCTTACAGTCAGTCATTACTAATTTAAAGTAGTTGAATTATTAAAATTTTAACTATATTTATCATATTTCTGTTTCAGAAAATGTCTCTCTTCCTATGCAAAAATAGCAGTTAAAAATATTGAAGGGAAGGAAAGCTCTATACAGCTTCTATTTGCCCATAACATTCGCCTGCAATCAACAATGGTATCAAGAAGGTCAAGACTTCAAGATTGTTCTACACATCAAACAAAATCAGTTCAGAGCTGTGATGGAGTATCAGACATATAGACAGCTACAAATCAAGCAGTACAGACAATTTCTGTCTTATATCACCATCCAAGAGAAACAGAGCTGAAAGTGTTCCCACAGGTCAACTAAGGTAATCAAAACTCTTCTCCGTTGCTTTTAACCATGACTGCTGCAGTTCAGTCACCGTATAACGATGATTCAGTTGATATTCTAAAACAGACCTTGCTAATTTTTATTAAGATTTCTTGACCTAAAAATTTCTCAGAGTATATACTTTTTAAAACTGTATTGACTTCTTCAAACATTTCTGAAAGACAAATAAAATGACAATAAACTAAGCATCCCAGTTTGCTTTACAAATTTTTAATAGACTTTACAATAGATAGGTAATATCCATCAAGTTTACCCTCTATAAAGAAGAATGTGATTCTCCATAATTAATCCAAAATGAATTGATTCTGTCTGTCTGGAAAATCCAAGAGAAAAATTGGATTTTGCAATGTACCATAAAGGTGATTAAAGTGAAGACCTGGGGAGCAAAAGTGTATTTTAGTGTGTTTAATTTAGATCTCTTCATCAAAAGCTTTTTGTTGTTAGTGTCTTCTGTTTTGAGTAGGTAAATTATTGTAAACTGAGACAAACCTAGATGATTATAGTTATCATGGTATCCGCTCATTTGCGTGCAGACGTGACCTCAAATAGGATACAAATGGCTCTTAAATTTCTTTTTTGTAAATGTTTTCAGAAAGTGCTTTATTCAAAACCATTAAACTATTTGTAATTGCTAATTTTGTATGATAAAACATATATTTTAATGTACTTGTCCCCTGGTGTATGAAAGTCTTAAACTCTAAAACCAAAAAGAGAATATATAGTTACTCTAAGGGGGCCTCATTCTGGCTTTCTTATTAATACGGTTTAGTACTCAACACCGAAGTAGCTACGCTGATTTAATAGCATGACGTGCTTTAGACATGCTAAGAAGAATACAAAAAAGCTAGGATTCCTGTGTGGTCATTTTGTCATTCAAGAAATGTGAAACTGTAAAATATGTGATATTACCTATATGCTGTTATGGTTTAAGTGAAGTATCAGTTCAGTGCTAATTGAAATAAATGGAAAAATTTCTAAGGTTTTACATGGGAGAGAAATTCAAATCTTAGGTCTCAAAGCAGTTCTGAGTTCTGCATGGGAACCTCTTGTTGCAGACTAGGACGGAGACAGTATGTCACAAATGTTCTTGCTGAAGTATGACATTTTGTTATAAATCTGCTTCCCCCCCTTTTAATTTTCTTTTTAAAAATAGTCTTACTGTGGTATTATTCAGAAGTTGTCTGTGGTATTAGCATTTTAAAATAGTATTATGATTTTTTAAAATTGTGTATTAGATTATTTAATTTTTTTCTGGCAGCTGCATTGAATATATTTTGCTATCTGGGAAACAGAAACAATTAACAATGAGCCCCACTCTGCAGTCACTGTACAGGCATAATTGCTGTCAATTTGATTGAAATTTTGCCTGAGAAAAGACAGTCATCAGTTCTTACTTTTTAAACTAGAAGCGCTAATCTACATAGTATGCACTGAAAGCACTCTTTAATTACAAGTTTTCTCAGAATCAACAAAATTTTTTCTGTATTTATTTGTGCTGATAGATTTTGAAAAATACTTTTAAAATTAAGTGATTTATTTTCTTATTAAATTCTTAAGATATTGCATAAAAGGACTCGGTAGTGGAATTAAGCAACTGCTTTCCAAGTATTCTAGCAGTTCTGAATAAACTCAATTTGGGATAGATTAAGTCTATTTTGCTTATAACAGTCCAATTTCTCTGTCTTTTCTATATTTGTAACTTAGGTGCCATGAACTAAATTCTTATACTGTGAAGAATTTTAATGACTACGTTCAGATTGTCTTTTCACACAATTATTATAAAAGTTCTAAAAAACAAGTAAAAAAAAAAAAAGAAAAGACAAATATCTTGGATTGTTTCTTTAATATGCTGAACTGGATTTTTTTTCCACAGAATGAACTGTGTTCTCTGTTTCAAAACTCTGGCATGTCCAGAGGGCATTTGAAGTATCCAAAGTTATTAAACAGCAGCCAAGTGTAATCAAAGTCATAGCTTACAAAAATGGCACAAGAAAGATTTTTGCTAAAGTTTCTGTGTCCTTAATTAAGCCAGTAACCTCTACTAGAAGTTTTCTTATATGCATAAAGTTTATATGTAGCTTTTGCTTCAAACCCTAACATAAATCCTTTTTGCTTTAAAATAAACTTATATGAAACTTTTCTTCCTTTGTACACTATTCCTAAAATGTGTGACTTGTTAAAAATTCTTATAAACACTAAGTGAAATAAATTACAGTATAACGTACAATATTATTTGACATTAAAAGGCAAGAGCATGATACCTTTAAAACAATCATTTTAAGGTTATGTGTTTTTCTTATCTTGTTATCTGATGATTTCTAGTAATAACCACTAAAATACCAAGTGACTTGTAGTGCAGTTACTATGATTGGTAAATTAGCTGAGAATGGATTTTTTATTTCCAATTTTATTTTTACTGACTAAATATTGATCATAAAGTAAATATGTTTGTAATCAGTATTCCTTACCTTTTGCATTCATTTAGCTGCTGGAGGAGTGCTCTGAAAAGCTGAATCTGAACATGGCTGCACGATGAGTGTTCTTGGCAGACAGCACTGAAGCACTAGAACCTAAAGACATACCCCATGATGCCGACGTTTATATTTCAACTGGAGAGATCTTTTTATATCCATTAAAAAAAACAAAAGGTAAAAAAACAAAAACAAAACTGAGAACCCCCAGCAAATGGCTTAAGGGGTGCAATTAAAAATTATTTTCATTCTGTCTTTTTGCATGGTTTAACAAAACTAATGTTTACTCATTTACAGCTCAGTAAGAGGATAATGTGCTTAATGAAAGAAAAATCTACTGACAGCCACGTTTATTGCCCTTCATTAGCATTGGTACTTAATTTAATATAGATCTGAATAGACATTAGGGAGCCTGCAGGAGGTTAAATGGTGAAAATGTAAAGAGATTATTGAATTTACTGTTTAGTTTCAGTGACATCAGACAGACATAATTAATTAGGCTTATTCCACTAGCAAAAACAATCCATAATGTAAGATTGGATTCATTAATGTAATTGTTTAAAATTTTTTGGAAGTTTAATACAGCAATGTGGAATATCTACTTTACTGTGCTTTATTAATTTTAGATTGCTTGGTAAGACCATTATTAAAATTTTTCTTCTTTCCTTCTCATTCCTTTACCAATCTGGTAAGTATGTTTTATTTTTTACAAGGGGGGAAAACTATTTCTGAATCCTTTGCAGCTTAAATGTGAAGGTACATGTTTCTCTCAGTCATATTTTAAGATCGTGAAGTACCTTGTGAGATTTCTGCGGCAAATTAATGGTAACATTTTATAACAATAGCTGAAGTAGGGTTCAGTATCAAATTAAAGATACCAATTGCGTATTTTATTAAACTATTAATTCAACCGGCATTTGTGATAAAGAACTTTTAATTGATATAAACTAATGTATAATAAAAAGCAAAATGATTATTAGGATAGCGTATGTGTAGGTAGGAAGTTACAGTTCCAGTGTACAATTCCAATGAGAAATGCAAATAAGATAAATTGTTTAACATTACGTGAAGCTTTCCAGTTTGTATAATCTAGTAAACCGTGATATGTCTTTTAAAAAGTTAGGGATAGCAAAGAAGAAAAACAAAAGACAAATCATTCAACTAGAGTGTGTATTTTATATATATGTTGTCTGTATTTGATATGGATATTTCTTTGAACTTTTGGACATTTTTTTTTCTTATGTACTTTCTTTAGAAACAAGCCTTGGGTTTTATTTTTCCACATAGTTTTTAAATAGCATTTTTTATCTTGGGAAGTATTAGGAGACATAATTTAGTGTTAAATATTTCATTCTGAATTTCAAAATATTTAAATAGTCTTTCGCTAATTCTTTTACAGATTTATATTACTTAATACAAACACATTTCAAGAAGATATCTATATAGTAGTCATTACTGGCTATTTGCCCAAGAAAATGACTACTGCATAGTTCTCTCTAGACACATAAAAATGGAATATTAATTAGTAGAGCCTTTATGATATAAGTCCTGTAATTAAAGGTAGGTTTACATATTCATGGCGATATTCATGAATGAAACTTATGTTAGTAAGCCTGTGTCTTACATAATCAATTTTATATATGATAAGCTGTTGTTTATAACATAAAAATGATTCTGAGTATGATACAGGTGATCCATTCACCAGAATGGCTATAATGAATGGCCTATGTATTCCATGAAAGGCACAGGTCTTTGTATTTATTCTTGCAAAAGTGTATGATAAAACTGCTGTTGGGGCTGTATGAATGATTGAAATGATCCTGTTATTGCAGTATTTTTATATGGGTACTGCTATAATTTGTTACAAAGTCTTCACTGGTTATTATAGTTTCTCCATGCATATGACTTGAGTGTTGTGATAGATTTTCAAATTCATTAAGCGAGTCTTTTTTTCTTTCTCTCGTTTTCCTCTTGCAAGCCAAGTTCAAAACAAAAACTTCTGTGCTTTGTCTGCATATCTTTGGCTGTGTTTCATTGTGACATGCACTGCTGTTCTTTTAGCACCAAAATGTTGGCACACATTACTGAAAATTTCACACCATCTCTTGCTGGATCAGCAAGCTTAACCTACCAAAATCTGGTGTTGTTGAATGGTTTTTGACTGATAATCAATCTTTTTGCTGCTCGACAGTTGTTGCTGGGACACAGACTAGAGCAGGTGGCAGATGTGCCTTGTCTTTTGAGAAAAGAAAGAGTAGGTGAGCTTGGGCACAGAGTAACATATTGTGTGTCCATTAAAAGGGTAAGTATAACAGGAAAAAGTCACTGCTGTAAGTAGAAAAGCCACCAATACCAGAAAATAGGCCTTTTAACACCCCTGTTTACAAGTTTAATAGAACTGGAAAATGACAGTTAACAGTGTAGAATTCCATGTGCTCAAAAATCAGCACTGATGTTAAAAACATTCATAAATTCTCTGTATAACATTCCATAGTACTTTTTTTGCTTGTATTTTTTTATTTATACATAGTATGAATGAACAATGTGTACATTTTTAAAAAGCTACAATATATTGAAAACAGATTTTAGACATGTATAAAGACATAGACGGTACGTATTTTATATTGTCTTTCTCTAGCCCAAGACTGGGAAGAGAGCATAAGTAGTATGACTTGTCAGTATAAACATACTGATTGCTGCATTTGAGTCCTTAATGCATAGATAACAAGGTCAAATGTCAGTAGCAAATTCTTTTTGCATGGGAGTGGAAGATCAGTGATATACTGTAAAGCCCCAACCCTGCAAATATGTACAAGTGATCCCATGGAAATCAGAGAGACTTTTTACATTTGTAGTTTGACATAAATATTTGCAAGATCAGCACCTTTGTGGAAATCTGTATTTCAAGTACTGTATAAATCACAAAGTCTGTCTGAATTGTATCATCTTGCATATAATTTCATTGCTTCAAGTGGTATAAATACCTGGATAAAATATAATTCCCAGTGACATTGATGTCTCAGTTTATTTGGATTTATTCACTTCCTCATTTTTCTGACATATTAAAATTTAAATTGAGATTTGAATAAGAATTCAAACATAAGTTGTCAAATTCCATGATCTGGGATAAAAATTGAAAGCCATTGCTTCTTTTAATTTAATTCAATATTTATAATGAATACATGTGACATCAATTATAAGGTGCCATTCCAACAGAAGTTTAGCAAACAAAAAAGTATCAAGTCTCAAGCATTTAAAACATATTTTTGAAGGACTGTTGTGGAACTAGAGTGTTGCAGAACTGTGCCAAAGAGTTAATGTTCTGTAGTATGTTGTTCTTCCGTGTAATTTACATATGGTGACAGTCAATGGTCATATTTAATTAATTGTTCATTGGAAATATATGGGAGATCATGTACTTCAGTGTTTGTTTGCAGACACATATATTTAGCAGTTACTGAATTTTAAAATATATTGGATGTTCTTATTTATTCTTTTTAATACCTCACGTTTCTCCTGTCAGCTTTTATTGTACCCCCATACCTCTTTGCAATTGAGTTTCAGGTGTCTCCAGTGTACTGCCTCATTTTTTTCTTCATTAGTTACCAATTTCTTAAACTGATCCTAATTTCTTTCTATTGAATTTAATCCCAGTGACATTAGCAACCTTGCCCAATAAAATAATCAATTGCCTATCAGTCCTTCATAAAAAGTTTGTGCATTTTATCAGTCACGCTATTATGGAAAACATTGGCTTCTGCTAAGTTTTGTCTTCCATTCAGTAATTTTCCAGTTTCTGTTTTTGCCATTTACCTTGAACTTGCTTCTGAGTTACTAAGTTGGAGACAAAGGAGTTTTGGCTGATCAATCAATTGTAGACTTAGACTGCAATCCAAAAAAATTATGCTCAGGTCTAATTCATTGTACTACTGAGAGTAACATCAGTGATTTCTGCAGGAGCCTTCCGAGTAGTGAAGCTAAGCGTTTATACAGATATAGGACTATAATTACTAGAGCTCCACTGACTATAATGGGAACTAAGATGTCTAGCTCACATATAGATAATTTACAAGCAGACACCTAATTTAGCTGTGCTGATCTTAAACTGAATCACTTCCTAAAGACAGCATTTTGGCCTAAATGCTGTTGTTGATATGCCATGCTCACATATTTTTTGTATGTCATATTGACAAGGATTCCTTGCATGGAACATGGTCCACTTCGCTGATCACATAGGCGCTTCATTTGATTAATACATCTTATTACCCGGGTGCAGAGCATTGTTTATGACCTACCTCCAGCTCTCATTCTGTAGATCACTATAATAAAAGAACACTAGATATGGAAACAATTAGTACATAAATGTACACCTTTTTACTATTTAGCCAAAATGTCTGTACTCTTTCATTTAGAGTTATATTTGTAGGATGTGTGTGTTTCCAGTACTGTGTGCTAAAAATAAAACTAAAAATAATGAATAAGATTTTCTGTCTTTTATTAATGCACTGTGACAAGGAGTCCACTAGAAAAAGTAATCCATGTTTAATGTTCTTAATGCTGCATTTCAGGTCTGTGTTTAAATGAAGAGATAAAGATTTTTTTGTTTAATAACATTTAGATATCATGTAATCCACAAAACGAAGTAATTTACAAAGACAGGTTCCAATTGACAAGAATGTGTGTGAATACACTTAAAATAGGACATCTTTTCTACAAGGAGTAAGTATCAGCAAAATGATGGATTCTTACCATTCTAATAATTGAATGATTTGGAAATGTTTCAATTCTAAGCAGCATTCTAAATAATATAGGGCTTTTTCTGATCAACACATAAAAATTAAAGTTGTCACATTTTATTTTTCAGAAAAATTGTATCTATCTCCTTTATCAAATTGAAGTTAATACATTTTATTACAATTTTTCTGTAATTACTGTATTATATGTTATTATTTCAATGCATTTGTACTGGAATTTTGATCTGAAAAAGGAATATGCTATAACAACTATTCATAAAAATATGCAGAAATATGTATCATCATATATTATGAGCTTATCTGTCTCATAACAGAGGTTGAACATCTCAAGATATACAACAGAGATTTGTTGTAAGCTATAGAAGTTTCCTCTCAAATATTCATGTAACAAAATAGAATTGAATACTTAGAAAATAG